GAAATCACTCGCGTGACCGCGGAATCGGACACCGAGCAAAGCCAGCTCACTTTGGGGGTCTGACCGTTCTCTTCATCCCACGCAGCCAAAAACATGTGAAAACACTCTCCAGGAGTTCCAGCACTTGGGGTGCCAGTGCCGAAGGGAGAGGGTTCGGGGTGCCCACAACACTACATCCACAGCCCTTGGTGTTTGACTCCAAACACACCTCCCTCTTGGTCAAAAGACCCGGGCCCGACGTCTCAATCGTAGCTTCCAAAACGGAACATGACCCGAACCCCACACACCAGGACCTTCCCAGTGACCTCTTCAGAATTGATAAGTGACCTTTTCAAGGCCTAAGTGGCCTCATTCTGAGATCTCAAAAGGTCACTGGGAAGGTCCTGGCAGGTACTTTCAAGACTTTCCGGCCCCGAAACGACTCCCATGGTACGAACACTCCACCTAAGACGTAGACGTCTCATGGGGTGCTCTCCGAGTCCTGAGGAGTGCCCAGCTACTCCTCTGAAGGGATGGAATTTTTCACACCACCCCTTGCAAGTGACTCCTGGCAGGTATAAAAACCATCAAAAACCAGTCCCTTCGGCATCATGCCCTTGTCACTTCTGGCCTTCCCAAACGTCCACGACGTCCTGATGGGCTCGGTCCGTGCCCGCGCGGCACCCGCGCGCGGGCTGCGTGCTTGGGGGTCGGGGGGGATTCACCTGAGAGCTTCAGAAGGTAATGATCATATTTGAACATGGATCAACACATCATCCAGTTGAAGCATCTTGGATGGGATTTTTTGTTGGGACATCCTTTTCCTCCCTCCCAGTAAAAAGCTCATACGGACCTTGGTTGGAACACTGGAGACGAATTCAAGCTCAAAGCGGGAACTCTGGCCGTGGCCATGGCTACAACAAAGACTTGTTGGATTCATGGTGGGGTTGTACCAGCACTGGCTGAGTCAAAGACTTGGAGATCTTTCTTCCCAACGACTCCCAACTGCGACACCTGCCAACGGCTTGAGACATGACTCATGAGATACATAGCTTAGACTTCAGCGTTTCCCAAAAGACCCCTTGGTGTCTTGGTCTCTGTTCCTTCTTTCATTCGAGGTCTCCCTCTACACAAATGGACATCTATGGACATCTTCCACCAGATCTCTACACGCGGCGCGATCTCCTTGCTGATGACCACCACCTCAGTTTGTCGTTTGGGCGTGCGCTTTTTGGATGACTAGTAACTTGTAACACTTAGTAACAAGAAGCTTAGGTTGGAGGCCATCGCTACTAGGGTGGAGGCCATCGCTACTAGGGTGGAGGCCATCGCTAGTAGGTTGGAGGCCACTACATCCAATACTACTATAGCTATAGTATACTATAAAGGGAAAGCCAGGTGAACCAAAACTTTTGTCAAATAGAACCAGGACTCCAAAAGCATACAAACATATACAAACATAGCCATGCATGTGGGCTTGGGCCTGGAGTGGAGAGGAACAGGGAAGGGGGGTCACCATGCGCTCGCTCCCAATCCATGGCCTTTTTTCCTGCTCCTGCTGCAACGGTAGATCAGTCGTTGACTGCAGAATCTATCCCATCACACCTCACGGTTTCTGGCAGCCTGTTTTGCCAGCTCACGAACCTCCAGAACAAACAATAAGTTGTTATTGAAAGCACCAGTCAAATCTTCAAGCACACACACACAGCGTGCCTCCTCCATGGGTTTTCCTTCTTTCTTCAATGCACGGTAGACCTTTGAGTAAACCTGGTTCCATGAGGGCTTTGAAGCACCAGAAGTTCCACCTGACTTCTTGCCACGACCACGTGTTTGGGCCTTTTTCTGATCCTTCATCTGTTGTTTGGTCTTCTTCTTGACTGTTTTGTTCTGTTCATTCCTCTCCTTTGCCCCTCTGGGTTTGGGGCGCTGGCTTTTCTGCTTGGGTGCAGGCTTGCTTTGCTTGGGACGCTGTTTTTTAGCAATGGGTTTTGCACTGCTGACCTTCTTTGTCCCTGCTGCTGCTCCATTGGCAGGTTTGTGAGGAGAGTTGAGATCTATGATCTCAGGAACCCTCTTCCTGAGTGTCAAGCAAAGCAAGTAACTTATATACAATATTGCTCTAAGATGGCTGAGCCAATGGCTGTTCCTCTTGGCTGGCAGGAACCTGTTGGGGTGGTGTAAATTTGCATAGAAACTGGTTGTCCAATTTGGACAGCTCTCACTAGACATGCTTACTGCTCGATGAACAACAGAGTCTGTGACTGAAACAAAAATGGTGGAGAAAAAACCATTCGCTGACTCCAACTCTGTGCGTTGCTCGCCTTCTGCGAAGGAGATCCAAGAACCTGAATATATTATCCCCCCCAAAAGCAAACTCTTATGTTGAGCTACTATATTTACATTTTACATGGAGCCTGCCTCCTCAGTCGGCATGGGCACTCCAGAAGCCTGACCAAAAGAAACAAATCCTATTTGTGGAAATGTAATGTTCTTGGGTCCAGCCTCCCCAGGAGGGGTTTCACGCAAATCTTCGCCATGAGATTCTTCAGGCATGGCCTTCATGTTGGTCATAACACATCCCCGCAAACACCCTCAAACACACCCTCAACACAGCAGCTGAGAGGCACACCACATCAATTTGGAACTCACGAGGATCACCCTCCTCAGTTTGTTTTGTTTCCTTTTGAATAAGCAGTTGTCCTACCACTTGCAGAGTTAGGAACTAGCCAGGATATGTCCATACAGTATGGATCGTTGATCACCTAGCGCAATCACGCGGTTTGGGCAATGCGAGCGCTTGAGCTGTGAACGAGGCCTGCCGGCCGTGTGTTTCCTCAGTGTTGCCAGGAAGGGTTCGACCGTCCTGCAGGAAGGAAAGCCACAAGGGAAGAGTTCAATCAGTGAAGAAGTGAAGAAGGGCTCGAGCCTCCAAATCTTTCCAAGGATACCATTTGTGTTCACGCCCTTTAAAGTCGGCATCATGGTTGTCCTGAATCTTTTTCTAACCCTTGATCAAGTTGAAAGCATGCACCAATGGTCCTTGTGCTCTGGATCCTTGCAGTCAGACAAGCCATCAAAGTCTTCCTGACCCAGAACCTGCCGGAATGCACAAGTTCCTGTGACTTTCCAGCAACCCTGATATGGCTGACCCCTAAACATGACTGTTTTAGACCAAGGACAGTCATGGGACTTTGATAGCCAAAGAAGACACCCTGAGACAGATCAATACCTCGATCATTTCTTGGTCATACTCTGTGGAAGCCACCAGGGACCACCATGATTTATTGTTGACATACATGTGGTTCAAAGACCTGCATCCCACCACACCCCAAAGCGCACCAGAGTAGCCGCGCTCAATTCGTCGTGCTCACGCTCCTAGTGTGCAGCAAAACAATTGCATCATGCCCAGGTGAAGAATCCATCACAGTCCTTGCGATCATTGGGCTCTTCCTCGAGGCAAGGATGGGGGGCAGCTTGCCAAGGGAACAAACATAGTGGATGAAAACAACAAAGGCTCCATCTAACCAGGCCTCAAAACAAGGAATGGAATCTGGCACAAAGAAGGTCTCCGCGCGAGAGGCACGTTCAAAGGCGGCGTTCAAGGTAGATTGATCCACCGGCTCTTGTCGATAAGTCTCATGTTCTACCTGTGGTTCATCATCATCATCATCATCATCATGTTCATCTTCATCTTCATCATCGACACCGCCACCAGCATGTTTCTTGCCACGTTTTCTCTTCTCCTTTTTGGTTGCTTTCTCAGACTTCTTGTCAGACTTTTTTCTCACGCTTCGGATGTTTTGTTTTCTTTTTCTTTTCTTCTTCAGGACACTCATCTCCCTCGTCTTCATCATCATCATCGTCCTTCTTGCCCCCGACGGGAGCGACATCATTCACAACAGGTCTCGTCTTCTTCAGGGCTGGTCGTTTCATCACTTTCTCTGGTTCACCTTCAGCATCTGCCTTGGAGGCACCATCAGGCGAGGAGCTATCTCCTGAGCCAGAGAGGTCACAGCGTTGTAGCGGTCCTGCCATCAAACAAACTGAGACAAGTAAGCGGAGTGGGGATTGAAGACAGGAAACATGATCATGTAGGAAAGCAAGGTTGCAATATGTTGCAATGCAATCCCTTTAGATTGTGGTCCTCCAGATGATGTTCCAGTGGACTTTGTCTTTTCAGTAGGCTTGGGTGCAGGCTTGGGGGCTGGAGGCTTTGGAGTTGGGGCAGTGCCTAATGCCCCTCCACTCATCAGCGATGTATAGTCTGACACGGAGAACGCTCGGGACGGAAGAACATTGCCGGCACTGCCAGGCTCAGAAGCCATCAGCAAGGGCCTGCAAAAAAGCCTTCAGGACTGCCGGTATCCCCGCCGGTCGAGACTTGAAAGGCTTGACATTGAACCAGGGAAGGACCAATTGAGCGCCACATGAACATGATTACTTAGCTGCTGCTGAATCAGATTGAAACAGCTACATCGTTTTTTTGAGCCTGGGGGCAGGTGTCCTTATGCAAGGTTCCAGACTTTGATGATCTTCGCACATTGCTTTCAGCAATGTTTCCCAATGAAGGATTACCACCCCAAATGGCCAAACAATGGATGAAGACATTATTAAGACATATTAAGACAACATAAGTTCTGAAATTGAGGTTGGGGGCCCTTCACCCAATGAAGCTCAAAGCCAACCCCTGCGCGCAATCCACTTGGTTGGAATTGAATCCAGCGCCGCCTACATGGTTTGAACCATTTGGCTTACTTGATAACTGGAAGAACGATGAATCATGCCTCAAACAGAACCACTTGTACGAGTTGTAGGCCCTAGGCACTGCTCACAAAAGTTGCAACTCTTTGTTTGGTTGCAGAGAAATGGTGCCTGCCGCTATTGCACATGGTCTCACAGGAACCAGCTGCTTCCCACCAGACTCACCACCATCAATGTGGATCCTCACGGGTTGGCAAAACATTTTCAGATAAAAACACTTAGAATCCCTCAGCCCCAAAAGAACAATTCACATAGAACCCTCAAAGAAACCCACAGCTACTTTGGGCGTATGCCAAGAGCCTCAACCGCCATATGATCTTGATGTTTGATGTGCTTCTCAACTTCGAAAAGTTGAGCTTGGCCCCAAAGCTCAAAGCGCTGGTAGCCTGCAGGGATATTGCAAATGTTGTTCTGAAGTTTTTGCTTCGCATACAGTGTATTCGTAAGTTATTGGACCAGTCTGTCTAACACACTGAACACACACCTTGGCTTTCTTCTTCCTGGGTTTGACCGGATCAAGGGCAAAGACAACAGATTCCAGTGGCTCAATGGTAAAGCTCGTGCCAGCTTCATTCTTGGTGATGCGATGCTCCGCCACAGAGTAGCCAACTTCTCCACGGTCTTCAAGACTTCGCATAAGCTCTCCAAGTGAGATGACCTGGCAGGGACTAAACCTTCAGGCCCAACAACATATTGTCCATTGTTTAGTCTCACCCCTGGCCTGATTCCAGGTCAGGTCTTCCAAATGCTCTGGAGTCCGTCTTCCCTTTTCCAAAATGACAATGTCTGAAGAGTTTGTCAAGGCATAGAGGACCCAACGCGACGCAGCGTCAGACATGATGTCTTTCGCCGAAGAGCCCTTCTCAAAGTCTCCGGAACCAAAGCCCCAGAGCTCTGTCTTCTCCTCAACGGTGGTCTCCTCCCCAGAACCCACCCACAGGGATTCATCTGATCCCAAGGTCAAAGCAAAGTCGCCACATTGAAGAGTAGTCCTGGCTGGCAAAAACACAGAAAGCCTGCGCTACTTTGGGGCAATGTAAAAAACAGTGCTTGCAATACACAAACGTGTTATAGCTGTCCTTTCTGGATGCTCAGATTCAAGCTCTTCAGTAGTTTTGGAAGAGTCCAAACACAAACGCTTGGCAGGCGGCTCTGAACCATTCCCAGCACTGTCATTTGACTCGTCTGCACCTCTCTTGATGCCGCGCTTGTTGAACTCAGCGTTGTGGGCTTCTAGCAAGCTGTCCATTTTGTCCTTGAAGGCAGCATGCTTTAGGGACCAAAAGTCCACCAGTGATTGGCGAATCACGAGAGTGCCATCTGCTAACCCCACACAGACCTGATACTCTGGCATGGGCGCACGTTGGAATTGTTTGAGGTCACTCACCGCCGCCTGGAAGTCAGGGAAGCCAGCCAATCGATATTCACCGGACCTGGCCATTGAGAAAAGCTGGGTCCCAATGATGTTGCTGACAAAGGCCGCTTCCGAAGAAGTGTGGCAAACAGTTGCGCACGCAAACTTCTTTCCTTTGGGTCGCTGAGGTCACCAAATGTCCACAAGTTGTTTTGGGAACAAAAAATCATAAAAAAATCACAAGGTTTCAATCAAATCCTGAAGTTATATAATCAAGGTTCCCCTGGCGCATTGGTACAAGCAATGCTTGGCTACCCAGCCATCAAAGCCCAACATGTCAAGAAGGATGGTTGGGTACTCTGCTCCACCTGAGATTTGAAGGGCCTCAACAATCTTCGCGATAAAGGAGATGCCACCACAGTACTGCAAGGCAAGAGTCTGAGCAGAATACATGTTGAGCAGTTTCAATTTTTAACCAACTTATTTATTAGAAAACCATGGTTGCCAAAACAGCAGCAGAAACACCTTCACCCCCTCTCCTGCTTCATCTCTTGGACTTTGGTGAAGCGAGCTTCAGAGCCGTACTTAGAATCATCTCTGGGAGGCTTGGCCATCTCACTCCGAGGCAACATTGAGATGTTGAATACCGCTGCCTGCTTCCACAATTTACTTTTGTGGAATGGGCTGGCCTCTTTCGAAGTGACCAGCAAGAGCTCATGAAAAGCAGTGCGGTTTCCATAGAGGGTTGCTTGGTCAAAATTGGCCACTGCATTCTTCACCTGTGGCTATCTCATCGACCAAGCACATTGAGTTGGAAACATCTTACCTTTTTTTGATGGTAATGGCAAACATGCATAAACAGTTTTCCCATCAACAGCCCTGCTTGTCTAGGTTTAAACCTGAACAAGCAAGAACCAACCCCTCCCCACCTTGAGCCCACGGTCCTTCTCCATACACATGCACTTCAGCCGATAGCAGTAGTCCCGAAGAATCACATCAGCAGGGTCTCCATCGCGAGCACCATCATCTGGGTCATCATCGATTCCATCACTGCCAACTGCCAGGGGTTTATACTCACTAGAACTTGGACAGGCGTTGTTGTTTTAAACCAACTTGTGAAAGGTTAGGTTCTCATAACACCTTTGACTCTTGACCCCAGACTACCTTCACCAGTCGCTTCACCGTCCGCAGGAGCACCACCATCATCGTCATCATCTTCGGCTTTGACCTCCGACCTGATCTAGTGCAGAAGCCTGGCCTCAAAAGGGGGGGAGTGTTTTTTTGATCGGCTTGATGAGTGCAAAAAATAAGTCCCTGACTTGACTGCTGGAGTTCTTATGTCCCCAGCACGGTTCGGGAGGACAATCACGGCAATGAACGATTTTGGGAGTAGATGGCACAAAGAGGTGATTTGTTGGAGCATGAAGTGGAGTTTGCCGCTCGAGGTGACACCCTGTGTTGGCATATTGAAAATGCCGATGGCTTGTTCACAGCTTTCCCTGCGAACGCCCCCACTCAAACCAGCCAAGGTCTCCCAAAGCCAGGGTTGGAGCCGGGCTTCTAGGAGACCACTGGAGTCTACATCCATCTCAGGGCCTAAGTGGAATCTGGAGAGGAAAGCAAGTAATCTTTAGTATGTTTCTGATTTCAAGGGATTTTGCGTGGCCAGAAATTTGGCAAACAGTTTGGACCAATTCTGGTTGGAAATGCATAGTGGCTGTTAGTGGGACGGTGAAAATAGATCTAGCTAAGAACTAAGAATAACATGGGATAATAATATAGCGAGGAGCTTGATGCCTTCGAAGAAGCCGAGTTGTTCCAAGTTGGGCAAACCTCTGTCATGGTTTGGTTCACCAGCTTCCAGGCCATCCCATGCATCTTCTGCACAGGGGTAAAGAAATTGAACAAAGCACCTATTTCGGTTTCAATGAATGATCTATCGTAAACACTCAAAGGTGTGAAGATCCAATTGTAGCTGTCTAGTGTCACTGAAAAACCCACCACGTCTACACCCAATAGATTCTCAGAGAGTGAGACTCATTTGGCAAGCCTGGCATGTGGCTTGGGGCAAGCAGACCTTGCCTGGACCACCCACAATCGACTGGTGGATTTGATGACTTCTGTATTTGATGAGTTCGCTCAGACATTCTTGGACCAGAAGCGGCTTGATATTGGGCAGAATCTTGCGCAAACTCGCTTGAGGGACAGCGTCGCTCATCTATGCGCTAACTGGGGCTTAGATCTTCGAGCATGACGCACCATCCTCGTCTGGGAGGGCACAGGAACAGTCGCGCGACTCTAAGACGACCACACTGCATGAAAAGGCAGATCTGTCAGGGCAGAATGGTCGACAGCCAGAGCCAGGAATGCTCAGGCGAGACTCAGCCGCAGAAGCCGCTGCAACGATCGCTTGCGATTCCTACCAGGAGAGCCAGCTCACAGGAAACATCTTTGTGGCATCAAGAGTGGCAAGAAGAAGAAGAAGACCAAGAAGACCAAGAAGAAGACCAAGAAGATCAAGAAGAAGACACGCTAGACCAAGAAGAAGACATGCAAGAAGAAGACATGCTGGATGCTGATGGCCATTGGGCCATGTTTGCTCTGTTGGTCATTGTGCCATGTTCACTGTCGCTGCTGGCCATTGAGCCATGTTTGCTTTGTTGGTCATTGCGCCACGTTCGCTGTCACTGTTGGCCATTGGGCCATGATTGCTTTGTTGGTCATTGTGCCATGCTCGCTGTCAGTGTTGGCCATTGGGCCATGTTTTCTTTTGCTTGGTTGGTCATTGGGCCATGTTCACGGTTGCTTTGTTGGCCTTTGGGCAATGTTTTCTTTGTTTGTCATTGGACCATGTTCACGTTTGCTTTGTTGGCCTTTGGGCCATGTTTGCTTTGTTGGTCATTGTGCCATGTTCAGTATCGCTGTTGGCCATTGTGCCATGTTTGCTTTGTTGGTCAATTGTCATGTTGACTGTCGCTGTTGGCCATTGGCCATGTTTGCATTGTGCCACGTTCACTGTCGCTGTTGGCCATTGTGCCGTGTTTGCTGTGTTGGTGATTGTGCCGTGTTTGCCGTCGCTGCTGTCCATTGGCCATCTTTGCTTCTTTGTTCATTGTGTCACGGTCACTGTCGCTGTTGGCCATTGGGCCCTGTTGTGTTTTGCTTTGTTTGTCATTGGGCCATGTGTCACTTCCACATTGTTGGGCATGGTCAACGTTACCATGTTTTCTTTTGCTTTTTTTGGTCTTTGGCCTTTAGGCCATTGTTGTCTTTGCTGTGTTGGTCTTTTGGCAATGTTTGCTTTTGTATGCCTTTGCTTTGTTGGTCATTGTGCCATGTTCGCTGTCAGTGTTGGCCATTGGGCAATGTTTTCTTTTGCTTTGTTGGTCTTTGGGCTATGTTCACGTTTGCTTTGTTGGCCTTTGGGCAATGTTTTTCTCTGTTTGTCATTGGGCCATGTTCACGTTTGCTTTGTTGGCCTTTGGTCAATGTTTGCTTTGTTGGTCATCGTGCCATGTTCACTGTCGCTGTTGGCCATCGTGCCATGTTTGCTTTGCTAGTGATTTGTCATGTTGGCTGTCTCTGTTGGCCATTGGCCATGTTTGCTTTGTTGGTCATTGTGCCATGTTCGCTGTCACTGTTGGCCATTGGGCCATGATCGCTTTCGAACCCAATGTGAAGAATGGATGAGAATGGGCCGATCGATGAGCCCAAGGAGCGAAACCTTTGCACCAAGATGGGCTGACCCTTCAATGGGAGAGAGTTAGCAGTAACCCACTAACAACCAAGACCCTCACTGGCCGCTGCAAGGGCCTCCAAGCTGGCTACAGCGGCAGCCCGTGCTCGACTTTCATCGCCACTCGAGGCCATCAAGTGTCGCCTGTGTTGGACGTGGTCATTCTCCAAGTTGTTCTGGAAAAGAGACCATCCTGCTTGGAGAGAATTTTGTAGAGCGTTGCTCACCTTCGATTGAGCTTTGTCGAGCTCCTCCTGCTGAAGGATTCCCTGAGCCTCCAAGACAAAGGATAGTTTCTCCCACTCCCATCCTGCCTCCATAGCTTTGCCATGTGCACGAAGCTCAGCATCCAGTGACCTTGCAGGTGGACAATGATGCTAGATGATGGCAGCAGTGGTCGTGGTGCCTAACATTTGGGTTTGGGATGGTCTGGGGGGCAGAAGGTGTGTTTGTTGGGTTTTGAGGTGAGATGTCATTGGCTTTGGGGAACCTAACATGTCCTTAGGCACACAACCCAAAAGATGTATTGCTGGGATTGAACGTCGGGGTCTGGAACATTTCCAGGGATTGAATGCCGGGGTCTGGAAACTTTCCAGGGATTGAACGTCGGGGTCTGGAAAATTTCCAGGGATTGAA